AGAACTTGTCATTGTGAGAACCGGTTCCGAACATTGTCGGGGAGGGCCAAGGGAGATGGGGGATGGGCAAGGAGATGTGATACTTGGATAACGGGTTCTACTGACGACCCAATCGACTAATATAATGCAGAGCACTGTGACTCTATACCGACAGGTTCTGTACGCTGGTTCGAGGTTCTTGTCGGTGGGTATGTTCTGTGTCTCGACCGAATGTCGCCGAGGCTTGTATGCATACATAGACTACAGGAAAAGACCGTGATGGATGAATGAGGAAAAGTCAGGTCGTCCAACACTGCTGCTGCTCAACCGAACTCCTGAACTCACTTGCTGGAACCAACCACCGCTTCGAACTCTGACAACGCACTGGTAACCGGACGCTCAAGCTCGCCTTCTGCTCCTTGCCCTGGTTGACTCTCTCTTCTGAACTCGTGCGCGGCAGCGCGGCTACCCCCGACGTCCAAGACCAAACATGCCAATTGCGCCGCAAACCGGGGACACAGCCCACACAGCCCCTGAAATAACCCGACTTCGCACCGCAGTAGAGGGCAGTGGCTGATCGGTCAATGTGGGGAGTGGGGAATGCTAGAACTAGTTTATGAACGTGGGAGACCTAGCTTATCGTTGAGGACAGAGCCGGACAAACCTCACCCACGGTCGGACAATGCCTCCCTCCCTTTGTTGCTTACATACATAGTTCCTCAGCAGGAGGACACCAACAACAACATCATCTTTGACGAAAACTGCTTCCCCCTTCCTTCCTCCCGTGAAGGTTTACCGAGCTTATGATTTCTTGCATGCCCCTCTCCACGCGACGACCGTCCCCATTATCCTTGCCACGTACTTCTTGTACACGTGGGCATATACTGCTGTAGAGGTGTGTCATCGACTGACTGCTGTCTGTTTGTTGAACGCACTCTTGTGTTGTTGTACGCGCGCCCCTGATTTTTGACAACGCGCTTGTGTCCGGTCGGTTTTCTCACCTCCTGGGGTGTCTTCCGTCTCTCGGCAAGAGCTGCCTCGACTGCTGCTGCTCCACCTTCCGGGCATTCATTCGAGTACGTAGCTCTACGGCGCAACTAGTGGACTATAGATTTCGGGTATTTACCTGCAACACTGACTTGCGCCGTGCTGCAAGAAAGGGAGCTTGGGTGAACGCCCTCGTGCATCTTATCGGTGGCGCCCCGTTCGACTGGCCCGTCAAACTGTCCAAGCTTTGGAGGAGCTGGCCGGCCACCTAGCATCTCGACATTTCTTCTTGGAAAGCCTCTCAACTGAACGGACGGATTCTGGGCTTGGTCCGCGCGGTACGATCTTTGGCGATTCGTCATATTTACCGCTTCTTTATTTATTATTACACGGAGGTGGTCGAGCGAGGGGGTCAACAGTATACATGTATACATCCACCTCCACCATGTTGTGACCTTAGTTTGGTTCAGCGGGCAGAGGTGTTTGAGTTAGGGTTAAACGACGACATTGCGTACCGTACCCTACGGCGGTGTGTTCCTGCCGTGTCATCATGTATGCATTCACAGCAGTGTAGCACCTGTACGAAGATTCCGTTTCATCAGCAATATAAATATGTCAGATGCTGAAACCAAAACGGTCGGTTTTCGAGGCGTTTATGGAAACCCCGCGGACCCTATTCACCCGCATTCCGCAGGCCGCTCCAGGCGCAGGCGCCATCGTGGAGTACCTGGTAGTGTTTACACGTTTACACATTGATAGTAGATCTTTATAGGACTAACGCGTTCTGAGCAACCTAGCCTTGCTGGCGTGAAGAATCTAGCCTTGCGACATACAACATCGGTTAGTCCGAAAGAGTTACTATCAAAGTGTAACCAAGGCTCCCGCGCTGGCGCCCGATGTACACGGGTACACCACTCTGTCCCACACTTCCCCACCAAATTTCCAGTGCAAAGGACGGTCTTTCGCGCGCTGGTCATCGTACGCTACTACAACCTTGCCAGCTCATCGAGGGCGCTGGTTAAACAGGTGCGCTTTCTTGCGGGGAGGGCGGACCTCTCAGACCGGCTTTGATTGACAAGGAAGAGGGCAGCACGCACAGCGGACAGACGGAGAGCTCCTTTCGTGTTCCGAAGGGTATTATTTTCTACCCACAACCGGAAAAGAAAGTGTAATTGAACACCGCGATCGACCCTACTCCTCCCATGGCCCAAGTGCTCCACATCCACGAGGGAGGGTGCAAGAACCGTGTGGAGCAAGCAATATCCTACGTACTAGTCTACAGCCGTCATGATAACGGGAATTGGGTCCAGTCTCGGTCCTGCTCTTTCAGGAGAGCTGCAGCAGGACTACTGTATAGCTTCCACCGCGCATATAACCGGCTGTGTCTTAATTTGTGTGTGTTTGTCCCGTTTGTGCGCGCGCCAGGCAAGACTTCTGTTTTTTCGCGGTAAATGTTTGGCTACACCTGTACTACGCGTACACAGCAGTAATGGCGAGGGGCAATGGGATCGCGGACGTACGTACATACGACGATGCCTTGCAGTACAGTAGGTGGCCCGCTATAGTGCAGGGATGTGCCAGAGATTTAACCTGAACCATAGCGGGCACCTTCACTGTAACCAGAAGAGTGCCTCAATAGAGTGCCTCTTCGGCACTATTGAGGTTTTGAATATCCCTCAATAGTGCAGGTCCTGCACTATTGAGGAGATGTTTGATTTCATGGTGTGGCGCTCACACTTTCCGGGGCTAACAGAGTACGAAATGGATCGAGATTAGTGAAGGTCTAGCGTGGGCGTGGGTAGACATGCTCGCGACACGCCTGTCGCACATACAGGGATGTCGTCGAAAATACTTCCATGTTGTACCGACATTTTCTTCCTGCCTCAGCACTCTTTATGTACTGCAGATCCTGAACTGTCGCGCGCACCAACCCTTCAATTGCGAGGCGAGGAGGTGCTTGTGCATACATGCCCGGCACGACGAGGAAAAGGCGGAGCAATTTTTATATTTTCGGTCCGCCCCGTACGTCTGAAATGTAGCACGGCCATTCTCTTGTTGGAGCACCACCAAACCACCATTTATTGTCCTACCTTTCTTCTTCCCCAGAAGCCGACATTGTCAATCCGTGCTCTGTAGAGCGTACTCTGAACGGAAGCGGAGGTTCACAGGGGCCTCCCGCACACGACATTTGGCACCCTGCACGCTTTGGACTCAAGTTCACGGCGGAGGTTGTCTCTTGAAGGTGCCCTGAATGATGCGAGAGTGACGAACAAAAGAAACGCACAACGCCCCAGCTCACCAGACGCCCCCCCCCACCACCACCACGCATTTAGGGTTGCAAAAAGCCTGGATATACCCCGTCGACTCGCAGCATGCGTCTTTCCATTTTTACCCGATGAAATACTGCCGAAGGCATGTTTTGACGAGATTTCAGCATGGGGTGTTCGGCGGTTTTCGGGGCTCCGGTGTGTCATTGGCAGGGGTACGAGGTCGAAAACGGGAGAAATGGTTTGGTTGCCCCTAGTTCCCCCTAGAGCCCGACGAAGAAACGACGGTTTTCTCGAAATGCACCAGGTGATGTCGGGAGCAGTCCTGCACGTAGGGATGAACGCTTACGGCATCTGCGCTCTTATAATTCTACGCAAAACCCGTAGGAATATCTTAGAAACGTATCCCCAGCAACATGACGTGAGTATAGAGAAGAACATGGCCCAGTCTAAACCCAAGTGAAACGCGCCAACAGCGCCTCCCAAAAATCATTATCGCAGACCTTTTCAGTCTAAAACAGAAGGTTTTCTTACATATGCTGGTCTTGTGGCATCTTTGTACACCGTACGCATGAGACATGCTGAATATGGTGGCCACATCCTTTAGCAGGCCCAACAAATGATTTCCGCACAATCTCAATAGGGAACGCCGCCCGCGTATGAACCATCGCCGTCCCATGCGATGCGTTCGCGTCTTCGGTTTTGGTTTTTCACAGTACGGCTAACGGCATTATCGCTTACGCCAATCTGACGCTCCCCCACAGCTTGCTATCTCCGCTTGCTCCTCTGCGCTCGTTGTGTACGTGCTGTCTTCACGTGTACCGTGTGCGAGATTTCGAATCTCAACATAATCATATGCATAACAAACGCAGGGCACCTTTAGACAGACTCTGTTTTAGAAAGAGCGCGAGCGCACTCAAGTGCTCCAATCACACTGGCCGTGTGCAACGATCGTGCTCAATTTCACCACACCATTCACCACGTCCAACACCCGTCCGCGCGCAGTCACCCGTAAGATCTACGGTAGGGCTCTCCCCACCTCTCTCCTACTTCACACCCTTAGCCGTCTAACTGTTCGCAAGGACGATACGTACAGTCCGCAGTCATCCGCGTGATTTGTGTCAACTGGTTGAGTTTCGTGTGCGTGCGACGAATCAATGTTTCTATTCTCAGCTGAGAGGTTTCCTCTGTCTTGCCGGTAAGCCATGGCGAATCGTGATGTTGTCGTTGTCTCGTACCCTTTCCGAGTGAAGATTTTTCCTGGTTTCCTTTTCTGCACGGTTTTCCTCTGTCTTTTGAGCGCAATTCATATTTTCGTTTTTTCTTGCAAGTGGACCGTTCCCGGCCGGTTTCTGCGTTTCTGCGTCTGCATTTGGCGCGCGCGAGATGAGAACTTCTCACTTTCGTTTGCGAAAGCCTCCCGGCGAACAACCATCATTTTGACATGTACCCGGAGGAAGGGACGCCGTCATACACGGTCGAATACCGGTGTTTTTTCCCGGTCCTAGCGTCGCAGGAAGAACAGCTTTCCTCACGTACTTGCAGCTATCGCCTTCAACTCCACTCTTGTTGGGACTAAATATCTCCCTACGGCACACAACCGGTTGACTATCGTCACTGGGAATCTTCCCTAGTTTTACACGCACGAAATACAACATGGGCTGCCGTTTTACGATTCCCTGGAGATTGATTGCATTGTTGACCGTGGTCGGGTCCACTTAGCCGCCAAGACCCCTGTGCTTGCCATGGCTTTGTACTGCACCGCAGATGGTCGCCGTGGATATCAATGATCTTCTCCGTCTGGAGGCGGAGCTGAAGACTTCACGTGAACGTGAAACATCGTCTACTAGTCTAGACGCCAAAGTGAATCTCCTCAAGTACCTTCAAGTCCAGACGGTACTTCAGTTTCAAGCAGCGTACGACGATTTGTACTACGAGCTCAGCAAGACTGGAGGGCTTGATTGCCTTCGCACCATCGCCCCGGTTCCGTCGACGGGCGTCTTCCAGCCCAAGGTATTTGATCCACAGGACTGCGGTGAGGACGAGCAGCTTGAGAATCAGCTACAGTTCTATCTTGCGGACGCTGAGCTTGCAAAGGCGCATTTGGACGAGCTCGTCATGAACGTTGCGCATGACATGAGCAAATACGAGGTTCAATTCGTGGACGTCAAGTCACGGGAAAGCACGCGACGGAAGGCTAGCAGGTTCTGTGATGGGGACGTCCGAAAGGTTGCTGACATAGCTAGAGTGACTGTGATCTGCACCACACCGGAGGCCCTGAAAGAGGCGTACTTGGCTATCATGGAGTTGCCCACGGTGAGTAGGACATGGAGATTTTGGCGGAAACCCGCAATTGTTCTGGAAGTCGTGCCGTACATGTTTGCTCGCTCTTTGATTTGAAACTAAATGAACAGGCAGACCGAGTGAAGCGATATTGCCCGAGTTCAACTCCTTGCCTAGTCCCCCCCCCCTCCCCGCCGTGATGGCACCATTGAATCAACCCCTCGCGAGTGATGGCATGCCTTTGCTCGTCGCTGGTGGTCCTGATTGTGTTTGTTCGCTAGCGCCCTTTCTCTCATTTGCTTTTTCGTCTACTTCTATTGCTTTTGTCTTTTTCGTTTCTTTCCCGGGTGGTCCTTTCTCTTTCTCTGTGGCGTACCAAGATTGAACTAGGGGATGTACCTCTCTCTCTCTCTCTCTGGCCCGTGATGCTGCCTTCCAGTTTCATTTCTCCCCCACATAGCGTGTAGAAGGGAGCGGGGGCCCCGAGGCTATCCGTCGTTGTTTGCAATGGCACCCGGGCCCTTGTGGCCCATTGTTTTTGAATAAATATATTTTTGGGTTAATTGGTCGGTGACCACGAAAATCGAGCGATCAAGCGTTTGATCAGTACGGACCGATGAAGACACTGGGCAGAGAACTCTGAACGGCTTTTTTTGTGACAACAATAACAACTTGAGAATACTTCGGAAACCCCCGAGGGCCTCTTTGTGTTGCTTCGTTGTGTGCACAATAGTAGCGATCGTTGACATGCACCGTGACGCTTAGGGTTACTCGACATCTCTTTGGGTTGCTCGTGATTTTGATTTTCTTGTTCTACCCTGATCTTTTTACCAATGGCAGAGGTAAAGTTCTCCCGTTCAGTTGGCAAGAATTGACCTATATTTTCCTCGATGCCCGATAGGACTACCGTTACAAATCCACTCCGATCCTCGAGGAGTGGCTGCTCTCGCTCCATTTACACCACACACATCGCGGCGGGATCTACCAGGCGGTTCCCATCCACATGCACCTGCGTGAAAGATGATCATTTTTCAGACAAAGTCGCGGCGGGATATTGCACCCAAAGCATCAGCTCAACAACGCCACATGTCGTTGGAGATCGACACTATATTTCTTGGTCACCTCCCATAGATGAGAGATTAGCAGCTTGATCCCCACACTCCCTTTGCGTTCTTCCCCGAGAACGATGAGAGATTAGCAGCTTGATCCCCTTACTACCATTGCGTTCTTCCCCGAGCACGGAACAAGACTTGATATTTGCGAAGATCAGCAAGCGATCATTCCTTGAAACGTGTCCACGACGTTCAATCCATGGTGCATCCTATTTTCTGCTACCCTTGTGTCATGCAGCAACAGGTTCTGCTGATTAAGAACGGCTTCAAGTCTGACTGGATGCCTAGCGGGTATCGGGATGTGAAGCTGAACCCCGTCGTGAACGAGCACCTATGCGAAATTCAACTGCACCTCCGCGAGTTCTTTGCATTGAAGGGCGGCCAACACGCAGTGTACGAGTGGGCGCGGGATCTCAACGTCACTACGGATATGCGCTGTGAAGACCTGTTCGAGACTTTGTCCGCCAAGGTTACGAAGGAGATGCTGCACCTTGCTGGGGAGAACTGGCGTGGAACTGGGTACGTTCTACCGGACCTACAGCTAGCTGCTGGAGAGTACGATCTGGCCGAGAAGAGCCAGAGACAGGTACAGCTGTGGGGGATGCAGTTGAGGTCTTGTCGTGTGCTTGCACATTGGTTTGTGTTGGAGCAGTCTTCAATAGTCGTACATCCACAACATGGAAGTGATTCTTGTGGAGTGGGCTCAGTGAAACACGGCGTCATCAAAGAGCGATTCAAGCTTATCATAAAAATACAGGCAACAGGATCAGCCCACAGCTGGCGGCCAGCTGCAAACTGCGACGATTCCCAAGCCCAGCAGCGCACACAGCCGACGTGTTTTACTTGAAGAACCCAGCGACCCTCAACGAAGCAACAATAATTACATTCATATTTCCGTGTCGTATAACGTGGTTACGGTTTGTGGTCCGTTCACCTTCCAGGCACTTACGGATGCTGAGAACGAAGTACGGGAGGTTGAGGACCACGACAGCAAGGAATCGAGATGGGCATTGGACCGCGAAAACGAGGCCAGGTCAAGACTCGCCACTGTTCTGGATAAACAGGTGAGGCGTACGCGTTTCGATTCAACCGCTACACGTTTCAGAATTCGCCGAAACATTTTGCTTGGCGGGGAATCATCTTGTGAGTCTTGGCCTGGAGACGGCGGCATTCGTTGCTGTGGTCAATATCTGGTTTATGATCAGGGCCAGATCAATAGTCATTTGTTGTTGCCGAGGAGCATACCGCAGTCGTGGGTGATGCTTTTTTACTGTCAGAGCCTAAAACTAACCCAACCTCTTGCAGATGAGCAAAATACCAGCATGCTGCCAACAGTAAACTCGGTTGTAAGGACCCTTTTGGAGGTATTGGTTGTTGCTATGATCATTTATCAGAATATACGGAACTCGGCATACTTCCAGCGCAACCTTGAACTGGTAGCACGCACCCGCCGACTAATCGCGGCGTCCGGACGATCAAGGTATTCTCAAAAGCTCAGGAGTTGGCCAACAATTCTGCGGCGGGGATGCCCAACCGGGACGAGCAGGGACACCTCACGTACGGTTTGCGGAAGAGTCTAGCAGCATGACGTACAAGCCAACACGATTTCGCCAGCACCGCCTCTCATTTAGCTCCAGGGCTTAGGCCTCTCTCAGGCCTGACCATCTCGAGCCGTCTCGCTCTACCTCTCATCCACCACGTGTACGCATCGTCTGCTTCCTCTCTCCTTCTTCATACTCGCTGAGAAAGGCACATCATAATGTAACGTTGTCTCTTCCGCCCAATTCTGCTCTCGCGTGTTAATTGGGTTGGGTTTGAGGCAACTACATCGTATGCATGTGAACCATGCGCTATTGCTGGTGCCTGTCTACCGCTCCTGTGGTGTAAGGTGCTGCTCGCCCTTCATGCTTTATGAGCGTGCCGCACCAAACCTCTCCTCTCACGCATCTCTAAATTTGCCCACGACCCGATCTAGACCCAACTAAGCACATGCGCCTTACCGCCATACGTTACAGTGCTTCCTCGGAAAGCAAGCTTGTGCTTGTCCTCGCTGTTTCGGCCCCAATACCACATCGGGGAGTGAGTGCTAGACACCAAGCCTCGATTGGGTTCGGCCGAAACCTCCATTCACAATTTTTTGGGTGGCTTCACAAGCCCCCCCGGAAAACAGGCAGGCATGCCGAGTCGGATCCCCTGTACCGTTGAACTAGTGAAACTGGAAATAACCCGCTTTCGACCACGACCATCCCGCTCTTCCCACACGGCTCACCAACTCGTCGGGGTTGTGGTCGACGGCCTCTTCGAGCATATGATCCGCGTCACCGAAATATTGTTCTCTGTTCTTTCCCGCGACGTTCCAGGGCAAGTATGAGGAGGCAGAGACTCTGTGCGTTCGCTCGCTGGCTATCGATGAGAAAGTGTACGGTCCTGACCACCCGAAAGTCGCTATAGGCCTCAACAACAGGGCGGGGTTCTTGAGGAGTCAGGCAAGAGCCATCACTTTTTTTTTGTTATCTTCGTGCACCATTCGTAGGTCCCACTCGTGTGTCAATCGATACCACATGGCATAGCCGATCTATAAACAGTCACAGGCATGTGTATGAAGGAAGGCTCTGCGTCCGGAGAACCCAGATATGCGTATTTCGGGGATCCACAAACGGTCGGTGACAAATCGCTTTTTGGTGGACCATTCCACGCCAATTCTCTGATGATTACTAACATGATGCGATGATGACGACGCGCTTTGAATTCCGTCACAAGTCAATGGCAAAAGGCGCTGTAATAGGTCAGGAGGACCACGACGTTACCCAATCGCTCAACAACCAGGTGGGGTTGCTCAGCGTGCGCGCGTCTGCAGTGAACGTTTCTCGCCTTGACCACGCTTCCATGGCGCTTATCTTTCCCCTTCCAGGGCACTCATCCCAAGGCTGATCCTCTGTACCTTCGAATTATTGAGATTGGAGAGAAACACGTTGGGACCTGACCACCCAGCTCGTGCAACACGGCTCAACTACCGGGCAGGGATATTGGCCATAGTTCCTTCGCACATACAGCGTCACCACAAAAATTTCTTTCTCACCTTTCGCGTCACATTCCAGGGCAAGTATGAGGAGGCCGAGCCTCTGTACGTTCGGTCGCTGGCTATCCGTGAGAAAGCGTACGGTGCTGACCATCCGGAAATCGCTACAAGCCTCAACAACTTGGCGCTTGTCTTGGAGAGTCAAGTGAGAGGCATCAGAACAGTTGAATGTCCCAGCATTTTCTTTTGCATTGTCTACATGTGTTGGTGAATGGTTAGTCATGGCGAAGGTACCTATGAGCGGTCGCATGTGGCGTGTACATGTATAGGAGAGAAGACCCTGCGTGTAGAGAACCCAAATATGAGTCAACAAATGGGTGAAGAACTTTCGCTTTTTGTTGGACCACTCCCTGGTGATTGTAAGCAGGGTTGTGCAAGGCCGTAATACTTACAGAACGGTCACACTAATTATGGATGAGAGCTTCGGGCGGGAGCACCCGTGTGTGGTCCAGTCGCTCAACCACCGGGCGCGGTTTGTTGAGCGTGTGGTCGTCAGCAATGAGGTTTTGCCGAATGATCACTCTGGCATTTATTTCCCCATCCAGGGCAAGACGGGGATCCTTTGTAACTTGGAGCTATTGAAATTGGAGAGGGGGCGTTGTGCCCTGACCACCCAGCTCGCGCCACACGGCTCAATTAGCCCGACGGGGTTGTTGTCTTATGGCGTCTTCGCACATACAGCGTCACCAAAACGAATTTCGTGCTTTTCTTTCCTGTCACATTCCAGGGAGAGTATCGGAAGGCCGAGCCTCTGCACGTTCGGTCGATGGCCATGTGTGAGAAGTTATTAGGTCCTGACCACCCGGAGGTCGCTATAGGCCTCAACAACTGGGCGGAGTTGTTGAGGAGTCAGGTGAACGCGATCGAATTTTTCGAATTTGTCATAATTTTTCTTGTGGGGTGAACACTTGTTGGAGAATCGTAAGCTCATGGCGAAGGTACTCTATGAGCAGTCAAGGGATGGGTATACCAGCGTACCCCCTGCGTCCGGATAACCCAGATCCGAGAATTTCTAGGGTCCACGTTCGGTCAGTGAAGAACCTTTCGATCATGGTGGACCACTCCGTTGCACCCACTACCTGAGAATTAATACCAAGGTAGGTACGACGAGGCCAAGTTTTTCCCCCAGTCTTAGTCAATATGATAGAAGTCGCTACAAAAGGTCAGGCGCACGCCGATTTGGCCCAGTCGCTCAACAGCCGGGCGGGGTTGATGAGGTGTATTAATCTACTATGAGCGTTTCTGGCCTTTACCGACACTGCCAAGACGCTGTTCTTTCCGCGTCCAGAGGTATTATGCCGAGGCGTTCATCATTACCGTTGAGCCATTGAGATTGCAGACAACAGCGTGGCGCCCCGACGACCCACCTATTGACGCTCGGCTCGCCAACCCGACGGGGGTGTTGGCTGTGGGTTTCGTCGCATTTACATCGCCACCGAATGAATCTCGCTCTTGCCATTCCTGCCGCATTCAGGGCAGGTATGAGGAGGCCGAGCCTCTGTACGTTCGGTCGCTGGCTCTCCGTGAGAAGGTTTACGGTCCTGACCACCCGGACGTCGTTGTCGGCCTCAACAACTGGGCAGAGTTCTTGAACAGTCAGGTAAGAGCCATGAGGAATTTTTAACTTGAGCCATGAGAAATTCCGTAGCATCCACACTTGTTGGGGGAATCGTTGGTTCAAAGCGAAACTACTGTATAAGTAGTTACAGACTACGTCTAGAAGAGAAGACCGTGCGTCCGGAGTACCCAGATGTGAGTATTTCTGGGATCGACATTTGGTCGGTAGAGAATTTTCCATATCGGGGGAATCCTCCGTTCCACCAGCTCTATGATGATTCACACGTTAAGTATGACCTGGCCGAGCATCACAGGCAATATGGTAGAAGGCTCTACGGCAGTAGCACCGACATGTGGATCAGTCGCTCAGTACCCGGGCGTGGTTGTTGAGGGTGTGTGCGTCTGTAAGATAATTTTCCGTCTTGACTCTGCCTTGGCGGTTTTTGTTCCGGTGACGGGGGAAGCATTCCAGAGAAGATCCTTTGTATCTTCGAGCTACACGTTGGGCCTTGACCACCCAGCTCCCGCCACACGGCGAAACTAGCCCGGCAGGGTTGTTGTCCATACTAACCATGTCATCAAATGAACCTTTGCTCTTTTTCCTTTCTCGTCACTTTCTCCAGGGCGAGTATGACAAGGCAGAGCCGCTGTACGTCCGGTCGCTGGCCATCAGTGAGAAGGTGTATGGTCCTGACCACCGGGTAGTCGCTGTATGCCTCAACAACTTGGCGGCGTTGTTGTGCCGGCAGGTGAGAGCCATCACAATTTTGTCAATTTCCCTGGAGACGTTGTATGGTTCACACTTGTTCGTTAAGCGATGGTTTTTGGCGAAGTCAGTCTATGAGCTGTCACAGGGTTCTTGTCGGAACGAAGGCCTTGCGTTCGGAGTAGTCCCACAATGGTCGGTGAAGAAATTTCGCTTTGTGGTGGACCACTCCCTCACACTAACTCTCGGATAAGCGTCAACAGCATGCGTACGGCAAGGCCGGGCCACGCTATGAGCGGTCCCACGTCGACATGAGAGAAGGCGCCAGGGCACGAGCACCCGAATATGGCCCAGTAGATCAACAACCCGGTGGGGCTGTTAGTTGTTATCCGCAATATCATTTTCCGCGTTGACAAGACTGCCTTGACGGCGTTCGTTCCCCTGACGGGGGAAGCATTCCAGAGAACATCTTCTGTACCTTCGAGCTACACGTTGGGCCTTGACCACCCAGCGGGCGCCACACGGCTCGACTAGCCAGCAGGGGTGTGTCTTGGGTTCTTCGCATTTGCAATGTCATCAAATGAATCTCTGCTCTTTCCTTTCCGTCACATTCCAGGGCAAGTATGACGAGGCGGGGTCTCTGTACGTTCGGTCGCTGACTATCCTTGAGAAGAATTGTGGTCCTGACCACCCCGACGTCGCTACAGGTCTCAATAACTGGGCGCAGTTCTTGAGACATCAGGTGAGTACCATCACAAATTTTGAAATTCACCGAAAATGTTGTCGTTCACACTAGTTGGTGAAGCGATGGTTCATGGCGAAGTCAGTCTATGAGCAGTCACAGGCCACTTGCCAGACAAAAGGCCTTGCGTTCGGAGTACTCAGATATGAGATACTCTAGGGTCTATCGATGGCCGGTGAAGAAATTTCGCGTTGTGGTGGACCACTCCCTCACACTAACTCTCGGATGATCGTGAACACAGTTGGCACGACGTGACTGGGCCACGTTATGAACAGTCCAAGGTCAACAGAGAGAAGGCGCCGGGACAGGAGCACCCGAATATGGCCCAGTCGCTCAACAACCGGGGAAAGCTCTTATTGAGCGTGTGTGTCCGCAATGTTATTTTCTGCCTTGACAACACTGCCTTGACGGTGTTCGTTCCCCTGACGGGAGAAGCAATGAAGACCTCTGTACCTTCGAGCTCCACGTTGGGCCTTGATCACCCAGGCCCCGCCACACGGCTCGACTAGCCCTGCAGGGGCGTGTCTTGGGTTTTTCGGACTTGCAACGTCATCACATTAATCTTTGCTCTTTCTTTCCAGGGCAAGTATGAGGAGGCGGAGCCTCTGTACGGTCGGTCGCTGGCTATCCAAGAGAAGGTGTACGGTGCTGACCACCCCGCAGTCGCTTCAGGTCTCAACAACTGGGCGGAGTTCTTGAGAGATCAGGTGAGAGGTATGCGTATCATGAATCTTGAATTTAGGCGAAACCGTTGTACGGTTTACGCTTGTTGGACAAGCCATTGTTCATGGCGAATTCACTTTCTTAGCAGTCACTTGCCACTTGTCGGAAAGAAGGCCTTGCGTTTGGAGCACCCAGGAATGAGATATTCTGGGGTCCAACAATGGTAGGTAAAGAAATTTCGCTTTTTGGTGGACCACTCCCTCACAACCACTCTCTAGTGATCGCAACAGAGTAGGCACGACGGGGCGGGGCCACGTCCTAAACGGTCCTGAGTCAACATGAGAGAAGGGGCCAGGGCCGTAGCACCCGAATATGGCCCAGTCGACCAACAACCGGGCGGGGTTGCTGAACGTATGTGTGTCCGCAATTATGTTTTCCGCCTTGACAACACCATCTTTGACAACCCAGCTCTTTTGCATATAGCGTCACGGATTGAATCTCGCCTCCTTCCCGTCACATCCTAGGGCAAGTATGAGGAGGCTGTGCCTGTGTACACTCGGTCGCTGGCTATCCATGAGAAGGTTTACGGTCCTGGCCACCCGGAAGTCGCTACTGCCCTCAACAACTGGGCGGGATTGTTGAGAGATACGGTGAGAGCCATAACAATAATTTGAAATTCCCAGCAACTTTGATAAGGCCACATATGTTGGTGAATCGTTAGTCTATAGCGAAGCTTCTTGATTGGCAGTCACAGGCTACGTATTGGAGAGAAGCCCTTTGTGTCCGCAGAATCCATGTGAGTTTCGAGGGTCCACGATTGGTCGGTGCTGATTTTTGTTTTTGGTGGACCACCCACTTGCACCCTATCTCTGTTACCGAAACAGGGCAAGTACGACCAGGCTGAGCCGCTTTACCAGAGGGCACAGGAGACCATGGAGAAATCGTTGGGGAGGGATCATCCAAACGTTGCGACAATTTTGAACAACCGGGCGGGGGTGTTGAAGAATCAGGTGAGGGAGCATCAAAATTTATTGGGCACTCGTAATAGAGCTCATGTTGATGCTCACTTGTGTTGGATGTCGGTGGAACTCCTTCCTCAAAAGCAACAACGTCTTGCTTTGCAGGGCAGATTATAAAAGACGCACCGTTTCTAACTGCGAGCTATTGTGATTGGGCAGAGTACGCCCGACCACCCACATCTTGCAGCACGGCCCAGCAACTGGGCGGCGTTGTTGTCTACGGTTTCTGCCCACATTTAGCGTAGCCAAATGGATTTCGTTCTTTCGTTTGCCGTCACATTCCAGGGGAAGTATGAGGAGGCGGAGCCTCTGTACATTCGGTCACTGGCTATTGATGAGAATGCTTACGGCCCTGACCACCCGGAAGTCGCTGCAGGCCTCAACAACCAGGCGGCGTTGTTCTACCGGCAGGTAAGAACGAAGCAATGAGTCTAGATGCCCTGAAAAGAGGCATTCCCGCTGTAGGTCGAGATCTCGTTTTGACTAAACATCAACGCTTGGCCGGGGTGTTCACTACATAGTATGACACGTATGCCGAGACCGAGCCACTCCATGAGCGATTATAGGCCATGGCGAGGGAACGGTGTGTGTCTGTAGCACCTGAAATGTCGCCCAGGCGCTCAACAACCGGTCAGATATCGTATTGCGCAGATATAAGACCCCCCTTGGAGTGACGTCTGCATCCAACTCTGGCACGCCGTGAACGACTGCAGGCCGGGGCAAGTACACTGAGGCTGAGCCACATTATGCGCAGTGCCAGGTTGTTGGGTTCAAACGCCAGAATGTGGCAATGCCCTTAAACATCCGGGCGGGGTTGTTGAGCGAGAGTCGTTCGATTTTTCCGGAATTCTCGTAGTCCATGTTGAGCAGAATTCAGGTAGCCCACTGCTAGCCATGCACGACCAATACGCTGAAGCTGGGACATTCTACGAGCGGCCACAAGCTGTACAAAATGAGGCACTGGGCTAGTGGTTGTATTTCCCACTTTTACCGAACTGGCCATTCTGCCTCATTGCACGACAGGATGCTAAGGTTTGTACCATTCGACTGGATACCAAGGGTGTTGCGATAGACGATAGGGGTCTTGGCTCTGGGTGTCGCCGCAACCTATGGCATGTACTGCGAAGCTGGGACCAATCGATCTGCATTTTCACCGCCCACGTCTTCGCATGCGCATGTGGGTTGCCGACTTGATTTTGTTGCTCGTTCCTGCATGTCAACCGTCGACAGGAGAAGTACACCGAGGCATTGCCACTATTGGAGAGGGCCCTGTCAATCCGTACGAAGCGCTTTGGGGAAAACCACCCACACACGGTTGAGACTCGAAACAACCTGGAACTTCTGCGAAAAGAGGTTCGTGCATAAGGGGCCGTCTGGTAGCCAGAAGCCTCGTGCACAACGCATTGATGACGAGAAGGCCTGATGGCGCTCACTGAAAGTTGTGTGGTCCATGTGGCATGTGTGTAGACGAGATGGAAGAAGCTGCCTACCGTAGCGGTTACTGCAAGGGGGACGCTCCCAAGAGGCAAAAGGAAATTGCCATCCAGTGTAGCGAGACGTTATTCGAGCGAAGCGAGATTTCTGATCTTGGCTGAGGAGACAGCGCAATATAGGCTCTATCCAGAAAAAAGAGCTTGCACAGTTTGTTCGCTTAATCTAAGTTTTAGAGTACATGACTTGATTTTAGACTACAGGGGTCAGCAGATGCACTTTTTTTTTTTCGGAGCACACTGTCAGCGGATTGCAGCAGAGAACACATGCGGGCGACACCACACAGCAGACAACACACGCACAGCAGACAGCGCACGCATAACAGGCGACACACACGCACAGCGGGCGACCGCATCTGGGCTCGATGCCGCTGGACTATCTGTGGTGTGATGGGACTATGTATTGCTCTGTCGCCCATGTGTTTTTTTTAACCGCCGCGAGCAACTGCCAGCAATGTGAGCACAGCAGCACATTAGTTCTCGAAACCTAACACGCCGATCGCCATCGCACCACTTCGAGCGTGTGCTCCATTGCGGTGTCTCAGGGCGTGATAGTTGTGTTGGGCATGGGTGCTGTATGTGGCGAGAGCATCGTGGCGATGTGAAATCCGGTTTGGCTTTTTCGCCTTGCGATGCGGCCCGATTGCCCGGGCCACAAGAAACGATTTGGATTACACGCCGCCACGAAGGTCTTCCCACACACAGCACCCATGCCTAACACAACTGTCACGCCCCGAGATATCGCAATGGAGCACACGCTCGAAGTGGTGCCATGACGATTGGTGCGTTAGGTGGCGAGAACCGACTTGTGTCCACTGTTTCGCTGGCAGTTGGAGAAACACCGAACAAAAAAGAGGGAACAGGGTCGTATGCGGGGGGGTATGTATGACCACGAAAGCGGGATGTGGACGGGGGGGGGGGTAACCGGTAAGTGAAAGTTAACGTTACCACAGCTCTCACACCAACACAGCAGGTAGGTGATACGTGTGTGATGTTTGCACTCTGTTTCCGCCCGTGGACGCACACGTCTGACGACAGTTACATCTATCAGCTATCGCTCGTTGTAGCGAGACAGCTAAATAGGATATCTTATATCATTATCCTGTCCGTATGCCCACGGATATTAGCGGTGGTGATAATCTTGCATATCCTGTTGGTACGCCATTGGACTGACCGCTGATGAAGCGTTTGGGCTACAAGTGTCGTAGTTTGTTGCCTACAGAGGATAGGCATGTACGAAAGTTGACCACCTTTCCTTCCCGTGGAAAGGGTGGACGACGTGTCTTGTAACCGTGAGGCAAGGTGCTGATTACTACACAGTCAGTCACGCTTGCCTACATATGTTCCGGTTCTGGGTGATTACGAGCCGCTTGGGTTAGTTGGCCATTCTATGTTGATCTTGACTTACCGAGGGGCTGGCGGTTTGTTCTCGTACCATTTATGTACCAATCAATGTATGATGGGGCAGGACAGAATTGCCCACTATTATAGAATGCTATTTATGTAGGAATCTGCACCAGGAGTCAAGCGTACAATACGTAGCCTGGAGCCTGTATGATTGGCGAAGATTGTCAAGAAGCTTCTGTAGTGTTGGATATGGAGAGGATGTTCGTAACATCAAGGGTATTTGGCCCCTCCCTCTGTTCAAGCTGCTGCCTATCGCCGGAATAGGTTGCATGCATGGGTGGTTGGCCTCTCTGCGAAGCGTCACGTGGTGAGTAGTGGATAATAGCTCAAACAAAACAGGTACTTGTAGCTTCTACAGAACGCGCCACCACTTAAGAACCGCTTATTTAGCTTGAGGCTCGACGCTTATTGGTTACCTCCAACCGTGCACATGTTCTTATTTTCCAAGTTCTTATTTGGAGCAGGTATCCACCTATGGTAAACGAGGTTCTTGTTCTTATTTCTATACCGATTGCCGTATGCAGAGGACACAGACAGGTCTTTCTGCGTGGATTTCATCACGAGACACTACTGCTGTAAGAGTACAATGTAGCCGTAAAATCGTCCCCTAGGTGGCAGTGCCGCATGTACGGTATGGGAGAGGAGAGGTTGCCGAGAAAGGCTTAGGAGGCGAAGTGGACAAACAAGAAGAATTGGTGTACCAACCTACGGAGTGAGTTAATGTTGTAGATGACGCATGGAAGGGGGTCCAACTTGACAAAGGCGAAACACTCGAGAGGGGAGGTCAAGAGGGGTTCAAGGAGAAGATATCTGTTGTTGCTTTGGCGAGAGAGAAGGACAGGATCAAACCAAAGAAACCAAGGACACGGAGGGTCTCGATGTGTACGGAATATCAAAGAAGGAATATATTTAAAGATTACCTACATGGAGGGCCAATGGATGCAGGGACAAAGCTGAAGGTCAAACCTAGGACTGGGGATGTTGGCCTTTGAGAACGTAGACGAAGATTGAGGAAGGTAGACGATGAAGACGACAAACCCAGGTGTGATCGGCTCCGAGGGCGAAGATCATCTTCATGTACTTGTGGAATGCCCGTGGTACAAGAAGGAGAGGGAAATGTACATGACTGAGCTAGCTGGGGAAAAAGTAGAAGGAAAAAGTACAGAAAGAAAGACAATTGACGAATGTAAATAGCCAGGAGAAGACGGTAGGTGTACTGGGGCATAGGAAATGGGTTGAAATAAGGCGGAAAGTGATACCGATGGGAAAACATGTTTGAGCGACCTGTTAGACAACGTAGGAAGGAAAGATTGGCCATCGGTGATCGAACCTGTGGGAACAATGCTCCGTCCTGTCGAGGACGCGTGGTCAACGGTCTAACCGCTAAGTAAGGCTGCCAAAACATGAGAGAGACTACACCCCCCTTCGGATCCAACTCCTACGATCGGGAAGAGGCGTAAGTAGGTTAAAATGGCAGGTAGGCCGTATGTTGTACGATGTGGGAGAGGAGAGATTGCCGAGAGAAGCCTGGGAGGCGAAGTGGACAAACAAGAAAAATGGAGGTACCAACCCGGAGGGAGTGGATTAAGGTTGTAGACGGCGTAGGAAGAGTTCAAAATCGATTAGGTTGGTACATTGGAAACGAACGGTGTAGATCTAGAGGGGTTCGAGAACAAGGAATCTGCTTCTTTCGCCGAGAGAGAACACCATATAACAAAGGGATCCAAGGATAAGGAGGGTCTCCATGTGTACGGATGTTGAAAGAAGGTATAGGTACCTACTACATGGACCAATTGATGCAGGGAGAAAGCCGAAGGTCAAATTTTGGAGTGGGGAAAACGGCCTTCGAGAACATTGACGAAGATTCAGGAAGGTAGACGATGAAGACGAGTTAAATGTGAATGCGACTCCGAGAGTGAAGACCGGGTTCATGTCGTTGCGAAACGTCCGTGTTGGGCGACAAGGACAGAGAAATGTACATGATTGAGTTGGACATGTAGAAGAAAAGGTACAGGGAGGTGTTTGAGGCATGGAATAGCCAGGAGAAAACGGTGGTAGCTGTACAGGAAGTGGGTTGAAAAGGCGGGAAGTGATATCGATATAGGGTAGATCGGCTAGGGAGAACATGGTTTGGCCACGTTTGACAAAGTACTTCGAAGTGGGAAGGAACGATTGGCATCAGTGATCCTGTTGGAACATGGATTCGTCCTCTCGAAGACGTTGGTCAATTGTCCTACCGCTAAGGCATGCGAAACATGAGAGAGAGTACGTTCTCCCCCTCCGCGCGTACAAGAATTCATCACGAGGTCCTCTCTCTCCCCCCCCCCCCGCCTCGAATCAGAAACTAACTGCTGTTTGGGTCACCCCCAGCCTCCTGAATTCTTATCTTGCAGCCGCCGCGTTTTGGGGCTCCGTTCTTATCTCTATGCGCATTGGTACACCGGGCGGGTTCTTGTTCTTAATACAACGTCGGAACTGAGCATATGTTCTTATGGCCAAGTTCTTAGATTTTGGATTGTCTGAGGCTCAAGTTCTTAACTGCTAAGTTCTTAAGTAGTGGCGCGTTCTGTATCGCAGTTTGTTTTGTTTTTCATAGCGAGCTCACGCCCTGCGTGGGCACAACCACACCTCCCGACAATAAACCGCGATACAATACAAGAACAACCGGAATACTTCTGCTGGTTCCGGTCGGCTTTCTCACCTCTGGGATTGTCTTCCGTCTCTCGGCAAGAGCTGCCTCGACTGCTGCTGCTCTGTTTTCCGGGTTCTCGCACCTCCCTGGCATAAGGCTCATTCCTATCGGAAGAAAAAGTCCCGGAAAAGGTTCCAAATCGGTCCTTTACAAAGAGGCATGCCGACGATTTTTTTCACGTTTCCGTGAAAAAGAGCAAGCAGGTTTTTATTTCCGTGCTTGCTCCATTCACGGAAACGTGAAAAAATCCGGGGACTTTGACTGACGGACCGGGCAGGCTCACCGCGGGCGCTAAATAGCACTACTTAGAGCTCTAGCAAGGCTGCCAGAATTATGTCCAGGCCTATTGCAAAGGTAGAAAAGAGGCAGAAGCCCCGTTCAGGTCGTTGTTTGTCCAAACCGAGTCATTGCATGGTGCTCTCGTCTTCTTCAACTGCCGCTGTTAACGAGCGGGGATTTTTTTCTGTCACACACGGCAAACACGGACACAGCAGAATGAGCACAGCAGCACCGCCGAGGCCTCCAACGCGCTGATTCCTTCGGTTCGGCTGTTTATATGATCCTCACTCCCGGCGCCGTGTTGCTTCGTGGGTATTGAGGCCTCGGGTGCTGCTCAAAAAGGTGTGTGAGCGATGTGTGCCACATCGCCAAACTGCCGTTTGAAAAGATGCGGGGAGATGATGACCGGTTTTTGGTCGGACACAGCAACACAAATCCACGGCACCACACAGCAGCGGAGCAATAGGGCCTCCGACATGCTACTTCTTTCGGATTGGTCATGTATATGATACTGGCTCTCAGTGCCGCCGCCGCTCTATGATTGTTAAGGTCGCCTACCTTTCGACAGTGAGTGGGAAAAAAAGGATGTCACACGTGGGTCACCACGGGCTAAATGAGCGGGAGGACTTGAGGAAATCGCAAACAACACCAAGTTTGCGACACTGCTCCCTGCCCCCGGTGCTGAAAACAGCTGGCCGGGTGGACAGGGTGTTTACAAGTGTGTT